GGGACAGTATTCAGCGCTTTGTTCTTTATTCTAGGTGAGTGGGTGTGCTGTACCTATTTATTCATAGACGATTAATAATATATGATACAAATCAAAGTAAATCTATTACCCTATTAACTATAAAATGTAATAATTATTACTGACAATATAATATTGCCACTACCATAAGTCAGCATCCTATGTTGAGGGAGATATTTTCAGTGTCTTCAAGTTGCTGTAAAGTGATACTTAAATCTACAATGTACTAAATAAATATATCAGACTTTCACATTTTTGCATCAAACTACTKTCACTTATATTTCAGCCACTAGATTACTATGCCGTCCATCACCGCGCCCAGCAAAAGGCAACTTGATTGGCTATACAACAGGCGGATTACCAATYTATAACTTCCATACACCACAATCCATATTGTCTACAATGAGATCATTTCTGAGACAAACACTTGAAGAGTCTGAATCAAGGCAGATATTCTACTTCTTATGTTTGAATTTAGTAAGTGAACATTGCCAGAAATAATATCAATGAGTATAATACACCTACTTGCAGAAACGTTGTCATATAAAATAGGACATTCGAATTTAGTAAAAAGGAATAAATTAAAACAAAACAAAAGAAAGCATTCAGCCTCAGTGATCTTCTTTTGTCTTTTTAATTTATTTCTTTTTCCTAAAATACAAATGTCCTATTTTTTATGACAACGTTTTCGCAAGTAGGTGTATATTATTACAAGATTGAATCTGTCAAGAAAAGTTTGTTTACATCTTTTCTGTCGTGTAGTTTTTCACTGGTGTAGAGCTTGCGTACGGTGTATGGACAAACAGTCTTGGTTTGATATCTGATGGATTCCACATGTTGTTTGACTGCACAGCTCTAGTGCTTGGSCTYTGTGCYGCYCTCATGTCAAGATGGAAACGAACAAGAACATTCTCATATGGGTAAATAATATGAAAAATTCCACTCAATGATCTTGGTTCATATAAAGCCAAACGTACTGTAAAATGAAAACTGTAATTCATGTATTAATATTAACTAACAATGTTTCATGTTTTAACATTCAAATTAAAATTTTTGTTTCAGTTTTGGTCGAGTTGAAATTCTATCTGGTTTTGTCAATGGTTTGTTCTTAGTTGTTATAGCTTTCTTTGTGTTTGTGGCTGCTTTGCAAAGACTCTTTGATCCTCCTAAAGTCAGTACAGAACGTCTATTAGTAAGTAGAGATATATTGTAGGGAATTAATGATTAATTAATTAAGGGCCGGGTTGTTCAAAGCCGGACTAAAGTTAATCCAGGTTTAGCTCCATGTACATTTTTTAAGATTTAACCCAGGATTTTATAGCACTAATCAAGCTTTGAACAGCACGGTGCAGAACCCTTTAAACTATCAATTTGAGCTACTTTAGAAGTGGCTAACCGTTTTCTTTGAATTGTTGTATTTTAATTTCAGGTAGTGTCAGTYTTAGGTCTTCTTGTTAATTTGGTCGGCATATTTGCTTTCCGYCATGCTCATGCTCATGCTCATGGAGGTGGAGGGGGTTGTGGATCACATAGTCACCATGACCACAGTCACCATGACAACAGTCACCATGGCCACAGTCATCATGGTCACAGTCACCATGGGCATTCATCACACCCAGATAGAAGTGTCAATATGGAAGGTACAGTGTACAGTAATGTATGTAATATATACAATATGAGCGGGCGATCTGTATGTAATATACAACTCTCTTCATGGGCTATGATTTCTATTGTGTTTTGCCTTATGAATATTAATGAATTTTATAAGAAATATCTAAGACCATTGAAGGTTTTGGAAACGCAAAATTTCTGAAAGTTATACAATCATGAAGTTTGTTGTCAGTAACTTAGCAGAAAAAAAACTGGCAGACCTGCAGATAAGCCTGGGGGAATTCAGGAGAACCAGTATATACAAGCTTGTAACAAGATGCTTATTAGGAATCAAACTGGTTTTCATGATAGACACATCATTACAGGAAGCATTAATTTTAACATTAATTTTAACTCCTGACACACCTTGCTGCCTTAACTATAAAATCACTGAATTACCTCTTACAGCATTTCATTCATACAACTTTTTTTAATTTTTCAGGAGTGTTTCTTCATGTTGTAGCA